CGGAAATATCGCAGGAAATATCGGGATATTATCGGTATCGGAAAAAATTGAATAAAAACCACGGAAATTGTAAGAAAAACTTGGAAATTTTTATTGAAACTTTGGAGGATGTTTATTTAGTCAATTATCTATTAGTTTATCACAAAAAAAATTAGAAGGAAATGCATTGCATGATGGAGTTAATTGATTTAAGTTGATTATACAGCGAGCTGGCAAACACTGTGAGTGTAGAAAATATGTAGTAATTAATGAAAAAAGATTAAACACACCATAATCATTTATATATATAATGATTTACTACAGTATTTTACACTTTATACATTGCATGGTAAGATACATGAGTGACTTAGTACCACATAGTGTTCCTATAAGGTTCAAAATTTTCAATATCTTCATCATCTCTATGTGTAGAGTAAGTATATTATGAAGAGTAGTCATCAAATGATAAATCCCCAAAATAGTTTTGCATGTAATTGTTAACATGCCACCCATATGGATCGGAAATTTCCAAGTATTTTTTACAATTGTTGTGGTTTTTATTCAATTTTTATCGATATCGATAATATCCCGATATTTCCATCGAAATTTCCGTGTGTTTGGACTACCGATATCATAGATATTTTAGACATTGCTGGTGAGTAAGTAAACACAGAGGAAACAAAGAATCGAAATAATTCTCTTTCTCCTCATTTTCATTACTGATAAGTAAGCATATTTTATACGTAGTGAGCAATATTTGATACCAATCCCAATATCACCTTTTTTTTGTTCTTTCTTGTTTTCTTTAGCATCACATACCTTGCTTACCAGCCCACAGTTATAAAATTTTAAAAAGATCATGCATGAATGACGTTTTGGTACGACTTGAGAAATTATAAATAAAAGAATGACACAAACACAATGTTTAGCATACACACTTTTATTTCAAGGATGTTAACTTCTTCTGGAAAATACATAAAAGGAGGGGGAAAAACACCGACAAAGGAGGAAGAACAGGGAACCTTCTAACTGAGAGCTACAGCTCCATTCTTATTCTAACGTACGTCCTTTTACAGAGGGCAAATCATTTAAGAGTTATTTTTGGTCAACACCGTAAGTTTCTTTTTAATATATTTCAAACCTTTGAAAAATACTGGATAAAAACGATTATGGTTGAGCCCAAACGCAGAGAAAGGAAGAATGGCAACAACAACGTAAATGAGGGAAATTGACCATATCTTTTGATGATGAATCAAGAGCACAATAGTAGCAGCGAAGGAGAGCATGGACACTAGAAGCGAGCAGAAGAGAAGGAGGAACCCTAAATTCAGCTTGAAGGGAAGAGAGTGGTGAAAGTTTTTGTACTCAAATGGAGACCTCGTGATTTTGAGAAACGTGCCCAAAGAAGTCAATGACAAGATAAGCGAGACAGTGTTTGAAATGGCGAATGCTTTGAAGAAAGGAGAGTGCTGGAGATTAGGAAGCCCGTTCTGATTAGTACCCCCGGGAACCGTGTACTCAGCTGCATAGGCCACGGTGGCCACCAAAGCAGCCACGACCGAGCCTGACTGAGCAGTTTCTTTCATCCATACTTTTGCTGACTGAAGAAGCTCTGCATGCTGCTTAGAAAAGAGCTCATCCGCTGTCACACCCTTCTTGTTGCGGTGCAGTGTGTAATTAAGTGGGATTATCTTTTGCACACGCTGCCCACAAATGGAAAAAACATTGTTACCATTTCGTACTACTATAACTAGTTTCTCTTGGCAATTAATGTTAGAAGATGTTTCCCTTGTCAAAAAAGAAAAAAAATCAAAATAATTAGTCACTAAAGTGTAGGAAGGGAGAGAGGTTTTCACACACACACACTATGATGTCATGGGGGTCTAAACACTTGAAACCACTTGTCTACAAATCAATGCTCTTTTTCATCAAGATAAGGGAATCACCATTTAAAATCTGTATTTTTAATGCATGAATGCATGTCCTAGTAGACGAACTTCAATTGACTTAAATATAGGGTAATTAAAATTAGGGTTAAGGCTTATATATATCACTCACCGCCATCCATTGCAATTCTTCTTGCAACTGAAATGCAGGACCATATGTACCTTTAGCGTCCACAGAGTAATAGCTCGTATCTGTGAAATAGCTCATATCTGCAATATGGTGTTCCCATCGCTATCAATCATGTCAGCCAGCCTTGAAGTTATGAATTTGTTCTTCTTTACAATCCTAAAGATGGCCAACCGACGATACTTAATGGCCATGTGCAAAATGTTTTGTTGATGCTTGAGATCGTGCGCCTCAACTGCTTGAGGATGACGCTTCAAAATCTTTTCCACAATTTGTGATATTCCAGTTCTAGTTGCTATAAACAATGGAATATA